TTTAAAGATACTTAGAACACCAAAAGTTACGAGTACTCCTTTCGGGAAGAGCCTCCTTGTATCAGTTGTATAGGCCTTTATAGTAAGGACTCCTACCCCTGTTCAGGTGCTTGTAAAACCAGTAAAATTTAACGGTTTTAAAAGGATTACAAACCTGAAAAACTACCTTTTAGTGGACCGACATATGGCTTTTATGATTACTATATTTATTCGATTAACTGCCCTGGGCGCTTATTAAAAAATTTTTGGACCTTGAGAGTGGACGCCTATTCGAGGTGGGCGTTTATTCAAGGCTGGGCACTTATTGAATTTTCACCATTTTCAGCAAGTGTAGTATGTTTATTTTGCAACAAAACAATAAATGGCAACAACAAAACGAGAAGATGTAATAATGCAAGGTTTCTGTAAAATACTCTGAAGAAAACTCCGTCTCCGGGGAAGTCTCTTAGTACTCATTCAATTTTGACTGCGGCTTTGCAGTCGCGAAATCGTATGCACCTGCCGAACCTTTGTTCGGATTGCTGTGTACCTTAACTTTCACTGCAAAACGAATATGACACAGCTGATGATAAACAAGGAAAAAGCATAATCAGTCTCAGAAGTCTCACTGCAGCCTTGCAACTGTTAAAGATGAACCCATCAGACACCTGAGACACATTCATTATAGCCAACTCATCAGCAGACTCAGCAGACTCATAGCCAGCCCAATGCGCACTCGTGTCAGTCGTGTTATAACAGGAATAATTCAGCCTGATAATTTACTGTAATTGTCAGCTGATAATTCACCTAAGAATTCAGATAATTGTAAATCATTATCTATACTTGGAGGAATCTCCAGACTCCAGAATCTTGGTTATTCCAGTGTTCTGAGTTTTTTCTTACCAAATTTCTGTTTAAGCAATTCAGTGGCAATTACCCGTAGGGACACACTGACGCTGAAATACAGGAAAAAGTACCCGATTAAACAGTTGTTTAAACTGTTCAAAGAACTGTTATAAAACGCGTAATCTTCTGATCTTTCTTATCCCGTCCAGCGTTCTGCCTACTGGACCTATTCCGCCTATTCTTCAGCTTCCCCCCATCAGCTGTCCTCTCCTATTACCTTAGCACCCGAAGCACCTTACCCCTGACCCCTTGGGAACGAACACAAAAGAGAACACTGAGCCGTGCCCTGGGATATCCCAACTGATCTCAACTCTGCCAACTGCCTTAGCTGACTGTGTTCAATGTGCGTTGTAATCAGTCAGTGCCATGCCGTATATCAGATTTTTTTGCAAGTGCCGTGCGAATTGAGTTCGGCAGGGTACAAGACGTTTCACCTGGCTTTAAAATCACTTAAATACCTTTTCTTTTACACCTAGAATTTTCTATACATTCATTAGACGTTTCAACTGGCTTTAAAATCACTTAAATGCCTTTTCTTTTACACCTAGAATTTTCTATACATTCTATGTCGCCCTAGAAAATTCAGAGACATTCTCACACTAGATAAAGTTTTTGGAGAAAACTTGAAAGGACCCCTAAAAATTTCGGTCAAGGGAAAAGCTCGTCAGGTAATCTTATGTTTTCGGAAAGCTTTCACTTTAGGCTGTTATTTTCGGGAAAGGCGAAAAACAGCCCTAAAAAATTCGAGAGGTTCAAACCACTCCTAAGACGACCGAACAGATCAAATTTTTTTAGCGATGCGAATTATTCATTTATATTGCTTTTAAAGCACTCCAGGATGCATAACGAGCCATTTCAGATCATTTCCCAGAAAACGGTCGTTGGGTGCCCCTGTTGCCAGTTGACAGTTGTCGGTTTTTTGCAATAGGATGTTGGTTGTTTATATATTGATGTAGTGAAGACCTCAGTGATAAGCAGTTTTCGCCGAGTCTGAACTGTTTTCTCCGGCGAACTCCCACAAGCCAGGACTGCTTTACTCTTCATCAGCTACTATGGCCAGATTATTCCACATATACATCTTTTGACTCGTCACCGAAAGTAATACCAAGTTTGCACTGCTAGAGTTATATATAACCGTCCACGTGACATGCCCTCTGAGGATGTAAGAAAAACAGCTAACTGGGACTCTTTATTCGACACTTATAAGGTCAAAATAGCCGCCTTAATTTATAATATATACAACCGCATAACTCCATCTTGCTTAGAACACATAATCCAAAGGAAAGAGTCCAAGTATGACCTCCGTCATCAACATCGTGTTAGCATACAACGTTTTGAAACTTATTATATGAAAAACTCTATTTCTTACAGAGCCAAGGACTATGCCAAAAGGGCAAAAAAGTCTCACGCCCTCAGAATTTTGAACTTTAATGAAGAGTCACCGCAAATAAGTCGTCCCCAAATTGACAGTGATTTCGTCTTTTATTAATTCTTCTCATATCTTTTATTGTACATATTTCACCTTTTATTGACTACATTCAATTTTAATAATTTTTATTATTGTATTTTATTAACATTTTTTACACGGCCCCATAGGCTGTATGATGTTAAAAGATGTTGTTGTTCTTGTAGTTGCACATCATATCGCTTGCTGTGCATGATCAGCAGTGAAATGAATTACCCGCCAAGTTTTAAATTACATGACACCACTCTAACCGACCAATAAGGTGGCGTCCTCTAAATAACCACGCAGTATGACACAGAACCAAGAATAGTTTGAAAATAATTTTCACGGTTTTAGGTCATGTATGGGGGATTCGCTCTCTTAGATCATTCTCTCTATATTAATCAGTTTGTTAATCTTGCAAATCAAGGTTGGCCTGGTTGAACTAAACAACGAGTATAATGAGTTGAAGATTAAAAGGGCATTCTCTTGACCCATTTCTGTCCGGAAGTCGGCAACTGATCTTACTGTGAAGCAAGTTGCAATAGGAAAGCACTTAGCCCACAACAAAAACTTAAGAGTGGAGACGAATGACTTAAATACGGAATGGATCCTTTTATAACCAGATCTGGACGTGGTATTGTACATCCCAGGCACAAGAGAGTGTTTTTCAGTAAAGTACAAAGAATCAATTGGGAAGCCATATAACCGTGTTAATCTGTACTTGTGCAGAAAAGCCGACTATGAGGGTAATCGATCTGTTCTTAAATTTGAATTTATTAAAATTATTTTTTTTGAATTTATCTCCATTTGATGCGAAATATTTGTTTTTCATTAAGAATAAAAGCAATGTGTTAAAAATTAGCTGATTTAACCCTTACTGGGTCTTGGCATCCCCGCGGAAAAAATGGGAATGGCCAGTACGGCTGTGAAATGACAGAGCAACAATTTTAATCCATCTCATGTTTTCTTCCAGCCATATTATCCTGGGAAGAAACCGATACAGAACCTGGAGAACTTGACAAGGTAACCAAGATATTATTATCATTATTATCAGTATCATTGTCATTACCATTATTGCCATTTTATCGAGAGGATCCTTCCAACAACAAGAAAATTACTACCACCATTTTAATTGCCAGTCCACATACGTTTTTCTTGTTGTGTTTTTTTCTACGGTTCCCTACCTCTAGTCATTTCCGTACCCGCGCTCTACCATCTCTAAAGAGCACTTGAAGTAGAGGGATCGTGAACAGTGTACCATTTTAATCGACTCTTTGGAGAGGAAGGGGGAGTGAAAAAGAGAACAAGGCACGGCGTGAATGGTACGATACAAATACGCTGATTACTCATAATTATTTTTGTCTACTCGCACAGATGCTCGCTGATTCTTCGGGGGAAATTGTCCTTAATGTTAAACCGCAGCGAGAAAGTAGCCCAGCCACAATGCGAGTGAGAAAAACAGACTGGCAGCCTCAGCTTTACAGCAGGATCCTCACTTGCAGGAGTGAGTTCGGGAGCATTGGCGGGAACATCAGGAAATCAGTACAGCAAAGCGTTCAATAACGCTACCAGTGGATACAGCGATTATATATAAAATGATTATTTGCTCGCCAATGTTGTTGATTCATTTCTTTTGTTATTTTGGCAAACGAAGGCGATTTCTCCCGCCCGGTGCCTACGCGTTTCTCACCTCTTCTGTTCATGTTCCTTTGGCTACTGTTTTTCACCAAATATGATAAAATAATGTCATAGGGTAAGTTAACATTTGCTCAAAAGGAGGTTTTCTGTAAAAGATCAAGGATAGAATGAAACACTAGGCAAGATTGAAGCGGATTTCTCTATGTATCCGACGCGTACATTTGATTTCGGGTTGAGGTAAAGGCTTTTCAAACTGGCAAAAGTAGTGTCCAGGTCAGCGCGGTCCCATAGCTGACTGTGTCCCTGTAAGTACTAGGCAATCTAGAGTATTTGTTACACTGGTGAGGGACGCAAAGGCTGATAGAGTCAAACAAAAATGAAGTCTTGTTCCTTAAAAGGCTTTCCCGTGTCTCAAATGTACAGAATGTATTTCGATAGTAATTGTTCATGTTGTAAATGTGCGTGAGTTTGAGTAGTTTTCACACATATCACATATGAATCAAATTATCGAAATATTAAGACCTATTAAGCATCACCGACATGCATGAAAGTGGTAAAAACGTAATGCGTTAAGTTTTCAAAAGGCCTGTTGCATTTCTATGGCAATCAAACCAACATTAATACAGAATTGTTTCCTTTCATGCCTTCAGTGTTAAATCTGATTATCTAATATTTTGCTGTCACTTTTTGGACAGAGAATCCTTGGAAACACTATTAACAACGTTCCAGAGTGAAAAACTGGGTGACGAAGACACTGACTTCCAGATTATCCGAGTGAGGAGAAAGCACTTGTGGGAGGACACAGTAAGATCTCTTTCCAAAAACGCATTCAAGCAGAATCATAGCTTGAAGGTTCATTTTATTGGGAAGGAGGCCGAGGACAAAGGAGGTCCAAGGAGAGAATTCTTGCGTCTCGCAGTGACAGCTGTCTACAATTATTCCGGGGTGCTACAAGGCCCTTTAAACCTTTAGCAACAACCTGTTGTTTCTGGAACATAAGGCCTATTACTGCGCTGATCTTGTTTCTGGAATGTCACTTCGACAGGGGGGTCCAGGACTACACAGTCTTTCACCTTCGCTGTTTGACTATTTTGTAGCTGGCCCATCTTTGTCCAGGCCAATACCACTGGATGTGGGAGACCACGACATGAGAAAGAAATTTGAAAAGGTAAAACTGGCAGACGTGCGTCTACATGAGTCAATGATAACTTATAAGTAGAAATAAAAACGTTAGCGAGAGACTTAAAAAAAGGGGGGGAAATGGCGCTGTATCAACCTAACTGAATTTTAATTTCAGGAATCGCAGGAATTTTAAAATAAATTCTCTTCAAGCTTATTCGTTTCATGTCAATTGAGGAGACTTATCGGAGACGTATTATTAGGGCGTCTCATCAATCCAAGTCCCTTAAAACGGGATGCCTGTTTTTGCCACTTTATTTTTAGCACAAACCTTCCCGCAGCTATCAGGCTTACATGCTCTCTTCGTTTTGCAGATATCTGAAGCTGTCAATAAGAACCAATTTGATCGAGCAGTAAGGGAGGAGTCGGAATTTATTATCGAGTGTGGAATTAGTAAAATTAATAGGGAGTTTAGTGAAAAGAGCGAACTAGAGGTTTTACTGTGTAAAAGTTTAGTCAAGGCCTTCAGTGGGTAGGCCTTCTAAAATATGTCAAGGAAAATCTAACAGGGCTCAAAGACGTGTTTGTATGTCACCCTTTCCTCGTACTGTGGATTCCTGTTAATAAATTATTCAGATCCTAGCAGCAACAGAGGCAATCAGGCAAGAGAGGAGGAAGAGGCCACCATTTTATGGTGGGAAGAGTTTCTGGACAACCTGGATCAGTCCGATCCACAGGGACTTCTTCCACAGCGTTTCATTTTTATAACGGTAGCCAACAACATTCCTGTTTTGGGATTTCCCAAAAATATTGACATCGATTTTTTCGATGTAGAACCCAGTTCACGTCGTTTTCCTATGGCTTCCACTTGTGGTTTACAATTGCAATCACCAAGAGGCATTCATTCCTTTGATGAATTTGAGGAACTTATTGTTCGAGCTTTAAAAGAGGGCTCCCATGGTTTTGGTAAAATTTAGTGAACGTTATGCTTCGAATGTGGGTTTTCAACAAAGGGACCACCAGGCGGATTATTAATCTAAAGTTACTGTAACAATCATGATGATAGGTTGTATTTTGCTCGATATAAGGAAAAGTATATGTATTGCATAGTGAAGCAACCGCAGAGGCTACTTTATACATAATGTTCATTCAAAAATCATTTATTACTACTTAAGTGCCAAAACTGTCAATAAACTTGATTACTCTAATACTCTATTCTTCTTTGATATCTTACTTTAGTAATAAAATGTATTTAGCAAGCAATTCTTTCCTTGCGTTATTCATAATGATTTATAATGATTTATGCCGGTTCGAAAGGATTATCGTGAACATTCTAGTTATGGTCAATCGTGATGCCTCCTTTTCTTAATTTCTCCTAGATTACAAATAAACTGTCCATTAACTTTAAAAAATCAAAGTTTATGTTTTTTAGACCACGCCAAAGGAGGCAAACACTTGATATATCTATTCAAATTGACAACAATATTATTGAACGTGTGAAAGAAACAGTATTTTTAGGTGTTGTCCTCGATGAGCATTTGTCATGGAAGCCTCACATTCTTAGCGTTTCTAGAAATATATCAAAATCAATAGGTATTATTTATAAGTCAAGTTTTTTGCCTTCCCAAAACTTCCTTGTGCTCCTTGTACTATAGTCTAGTTTACCCTTACTTAACTTATTGTGTTTCAGTCTGGGGATAGACACATCAGTCTAATTTAAATCAGATTATCATTCTGCAAAAGAAGATAATCAGAAGAATATCTAAAGTTTCTTTTGCTGCTCATACCAGTGTTCTTTTTAAAGAGCAGGAGATTTTAAAATTCTCGGACTTTTATTTATACCAAATAGGTAAATTTATGTATCTTTTTAAAAGAGGCTCACTTCCAAATTATTTTCGTGATATGTTTACTCTTGCAATTCCACCCTCTTCTGTGTACCTCATTGTCGAACTAATTTTTGAAAATTCTCAATTCGGTTTCAAGGTCCTACATTTTTCAACTCGCTAAGTCGGGAAATTCAAAACAGTGAAAATATCAGTTTGTTTGGAAGAAGAGTTAAAAAAATTCCTTCTTTCTTAGTTAAATTAACTCTTTGTTGAGCTACACACCTTATTTTTCTTTTTTCTCTTCTTTCTTTTTTTTTTCTTTAAAAAATGAATCCAAATTTTCATTCAGTACCCTTAACTTGTATGGTTTACCCTATAGTTCCAGGAAGCCTATAGTTTATAAGCCCCCTAGCTTCTATATAGGCTTCCTTGCCTTTACCACATTTAATCTTGTAAATAATTTAGTTAGAATATTTTATATTATCTTTTATGTATTTCTGTCTACTGTAGTTGTATTTCTGGTTAATGGCAAAATAAAATGAATGAATGAATGAATGAATTACATTGCAAGCTGCAAAAGGTCAAAGTATAGTTTGAGTGCATCTTCCCAGTTGTTTGGCGGGAGATAGCCTCGATTATTCATTAGGTATCGTGCATAGGCATTGAAATCACAGCTGCCACTCAAATTAACTGGTTTCTGCACTGTGTTTTGGCCCATAACACTTTAACAGGTGATAAAGGCCTCGACATGTCTTCACCACCTATAAGGGAAATTGAATCATTGAATGCACAACATCAAGTTACTAGGGAAAGTAATAACAGTAAATTACGATAGAATGAGGACTTATCTCACGGAGAAAATGATCTTAATAGGTAGGTACCCAACAGGAAAACCAGTTACAAAACACTTCGAATTTTTACAAAATTTGCCTACTACTTTCGTCCTGATTGGACAAAATCCGCTCTTTGTTATATAATCCTTAAATGAGACTGGTTCCGGGTGAATACTGACGTAAAATCTAAACAGGTGATCTTCTAACAAACTTATACCTTAAGAAATCAGTGGTAAACCCAACCAAATACTGTACCTGAGTTTTCTGAGAGGAAAAAGAGCTCATCAGGGATTCCACTTGGACATTCAGACATGGTACTCCTCTTATCAAATGTTTATTCCATGTAGTAGCAACAAAATCTAGTTCTTTCTGCAAAACATCCATGAAGCAATACCGAATGCAGTAGGTATGTATTAGGTTTCCTGGCGAAAATGCACCCGATGCTGTTAAATCTTTAAACAAATCAATCCACCATTCACTGCAAGACTTTCTAAAATTGGACCACCATGCCTCTATCCTCTGATTCGAGGTTGATAATAATAATAATAATTTAATTCTTATATTGCGTGCTTTCCATGAAGTGATTAAGCGCGCATTACATGATTTCTATCTATAATAATTTAATACAAGGTATCTAACTGATAATTATCTAAAATATACTATGATAAAATTAAAATATACAACATATGTTAAGATACCAGTAATTATCGTGATAAAAATTAATAAAAAGCTTCCCTAAAGAGGTGCGTTTTCAGATGGCACCTCAAAATCCCTAGATCTGTAATAGAACGAATCTCACGCGGTAATACATTCCAAAGTGCCGGAGCTGCGACCTGGAATGATCTGTCTCCTAATGTAATCCTACTTCTATAAGTTGGTGTTGTAAGCAACAAACCATCCGAGGAGGATCTTAAATTATAGTTTCCTGGTCTTGTAATTGACACAAGTTCTCTTAAATACGTTGGCGCGAATCCATGGATGGCCTTAAAAACAAACAGTAGAATCTTAAAACTAATGCGTTGCCTTACCAGTAGCCAGTGCAGCTCGTACAGCAACAGCGTTATGCGACAGTAGTGTGGCGCACGACAAACTAATCTTGCTGCGGCATTTAAAACGCGCTGAACCTTATTCAGGTGAGAAGCTGGCAAGCCATATAAAAGACTATTACAATAATCTATGCGCAAGGTAACAAACGCATGTACGAGGGATTTAGTGGTATCTGTACTTAAAAACATACGAATCCGACTTATATTATCCACATGATAGAATGCCGAGGTGCATTGCTTACTTATGTGGGATGACATATCTAGATTACGATCAAACCATGACCCAAGATTTCGCACAACTGATTTCGCCTCTACGACTGTGTCACCTACAGTAATATCATTCAAGTTGACTTTCTGTAACTGTTGCCTAGTAC